GAGCATGAGAGGGGGGAGGGTCAGAGAGAGAGGCAGACTCCCTGCTGAGCAGGGAGTCCGACGTGGGACTCGATCCCGGGACTCCAGGATCATGACCCGAGCCGAAGGCAGTCGCTTAACCAACTGAGCCACCCAGGCGCCCTCATCTTCTGATGTTTTTACAGGCAAGTTTTACTAAACTTGCAAGAAACTGATATCTCAAACCTTGTAGAAATTCTAGAAAAGAGAAAAAGAGACGATGTGCTCTAATTTGTTTTATGAAGTCAGAAAGTTTTATTATAAAATTAGATAATTACAGTATGAGAAAGATAAATTATAGGCCAATCTCTCTTTTGACTATAGATGCAGTAATCCTTAATGAATTAAATTATGTATACATATTAATATAATGTATATTACATATATAATACAAATATATTAATAAATCATGACCAACTTGGGTGTATTCCAGTATTGCAAGATTTGCCTAATGTTAGAAAATCTAAAATACCTTTGTATTTCATCTCCCACATTTACAAATTAAAGAGAATAATGATATGATCATTTCCATAGATGCAGAAGAAAAGCATTTGGTAAAATTCCAAAACCATTCATGATAAAACTCTTAATAACAGGAATAAAAGAGATATCCCTTAAATTGTTAAAATTTTCTATCATGTATCTAGAAGAGACATTATCATGGATACTGGAACATAAATTAATTCCCTTTAAATAAAAAAGAAAAGGCAAGGATGCCTATTATCACTGTCTAACACATTTTCCTGAAAAATGTAGTCCATGAATGAAGTTAATAGAAATAAAATATGTAAGGAAAGGAAAATAAGCACTGTCATTATCTATAGATTAGATGATTTTCCATATAGGAAATTAAAAGAATCTACAGGTAAAATTTTAAAGCTATGAAGATCATTTATCAAAATAGACACATATAAGTTCACTATTTAAAATACATAGCACTGGGGTACCTGGATGGCTCAGCTGGTTAAGCCTCCGTCTTGATCTCAGCTCAGGTGTTGATCTCAGGGTCATGAGATCAAACCCCATGTTGGGTTCTGCACTCAGCATGGAGTCAGCTTGGGACTCTCCCAAGGTTGAAAATAAATGGATATTATTCAAGTTGTGGAACCCAGAGCAACCTGTAGTTTCTCATGTTTGGCCTGCAGAATATGATGAGTGTTTACTTACACTTTAGAGCTTGCTCTGAATGCCATTTGGTGACAAGAGTATAGTTGCTCAGCATTAATTGGACAACTTTGGGATTCCCAGTTCTTTCAAGACCCTGTCTCATAAGCAGACACTAATCCTGTTGCTTAAACAGAAAATAGAAGTGACTTGAAATATATTGTGCTAAAAAGTATTTTTTTAATCAAGAAACATTGTCTAATATATGGATTAATGTTTTACTCTTTCAACTTCTGAATGAATATATAAAGGTATCAATTTAAAAATGATCTCACGTCAAAAGTTGAATCTTGAAAAAATGCGGTATAATGAAAGGAACATGTAACAGTGACTGTAGACATGATATAACCCAGTCTCCTCATTGTACGCACAATAAGATCAACAGCATTAATGACTTATCCAATGACACTTAGCTACTTAACAGAATTGGATTCAAACCTGATTTATAAATAACATTTTTAATTTTTTAATGCAATGAACCATATCAGTTTAAGTAACTGAAGTTGAGATCTTTCTTTACTTTTTTAAGTTAATTAACAGAATGATCTTCATTGTAATTAACATACTAGGGAAACATGATTCCCATTTGATAACACTTCTTATTTGTTATAGGAGCCTACATATATAATAAAATTTTAAAAATAATATGGCTAAATATTAACTGACCACTAAAAGTTATCAAGTGTTAGAGTTAAAAGTCAATACTACATACTGTGTTATTAGAAATAATAAACATTTTAGATTGGTTAAATAAATTATAGGTATATAATGAAATATGTGAACATTAAGTGGAATTTTCTAGAAGTAATGATTAGAAACTATTCATGACATATGTATATAAGTGCTTAATAGTATGCACACTAAAAATTTTTTGTGTGTATATGCATCTCTTAGTATTATATTTAGTCTACATGCATTAAAGCTTTAGCTAGCAAATTGGTAAGTTTTGGTAAATTTTTATAAGGATACATTCAAGGACAACACTATATCATGGCTATCGATAAAAACACATTGTATTTAGTCAGGTGTTCTAATCCTCTTTTTTTAATTCATAGAGGACAGAAGGAATTTTGGATCATCCTATGTGGTCAAATTAATGTATTATCCATCTTACTTATATTGTGACCAGAAAATAAGAGATGATGCAAAAATATCTTTAATAATTGGGCATATTATTGCAAATATTTCTTGTTTAGTTGTTCTAATGATTCAAAAACCAGAGGAAGACACATTTAAATCCAATTATTTGCATGTATTTTGAGCTTTTTTTTTTTTTTAATTTTAAACAGAGACTCAACGTTAAATGTCCAGATTCCCCCAGCAAGACTTTTTGATGGGGACGAGGTTCATCCTCTTTCTGTGACGTTTCCAAAAGGCAGAGTCATCACAGGCTCTCCCAGTGGAATGAATGCGGAGCTCACCTGCCACCTCAGCTTCAGATCATCTAAACCTGTGTCCTTTTTCACCGATATTCTTTTCTGTGATAACAGAGATAACTGGTAAGATATTCTTTTGTATCTGACAGCAAAGAATAATAAGTTATGTTTTACACTATTGTAAAATGCTAAAAGGAGAGACACGTAAAATAATGACTTTGGCCGTAAAGTTGTGCATTAAAGTTCCAAACGTAGCATTGCTCCCATGAGAAACAGCTTGACAGCTGTTACCAGCACATACTGCAGGTAGGCTCTGTGGCTTTGAATCTTGGCTCTGTTAACTGAGGAGAACTTATTTAATCTTCTGAGTGCCTCTGTTTTCTCCTACATAAAATGGGGGTAATAACAGAACCTATCTCCTCTGTAATCATGGGAGATTCCCTGAGTTAGTAATCATTGAGTAACTGGACAGGGACTGGAACAAAGGAAATGGTAAATAAGTACTAAATGAAAATGAGAAATATCAGCGTAACGAGTTTCCAAACAGTACGATTTTGTTACATGTTGCTTTAACAGACTCCGGGAAATCCAAATACACCTTGGTAAAAACATGTTTCTGGATTTCTTACCTTGTAGGATAAGAAATCCCACTTTTCCATTACACCCTGAGATGATTTGATTCCCGAAGTTAGAAGAGGCTAATTAATGGGTAGAGCAAACAAGTTTGTTAAAAATGTTTATAGTGAGAAGTAGCATTAGAGGGAATTATACACTAAAGATGAGTGACAGTGTATGTGATCAGTGTGATCATTTATTGACTTGTAGTGGGGTTGTTACTATTTGGTGTATTCATAGTCAATGGACTGGTTCCTGTGTTAGGAATTAGAAGGGAGAGAGACAGATGCTATTGGAATGTCTCGTCCAGAGCAGAGGGTGGCTGTATCTAGGAGTTCTCCTGAACTCCACCTTCCATATCTCTTGCATATGTAGATGGATAAAATCATCTAAGTTATACCACTCAGACTCCCGTTTTTCTCTTTTGATGCTAACAGTCTGTCTTTTGTTGATATTTAAAAACAAATTTTTTTTAAAGATTTTTTTAAATTTCTTTATTTGACAGAGAGATAGCACAAGTAGGCAGAGTGGCAGGCAGAGGGAGAGGGAGAAGCAGGCTCTCTGCTGAGCAGGAAGCCCAATGCGGGGCTCGATCCCAGGACCCTGGGATCATGACCTGAGCCGAAGGCAGCCGCTTAACCGACTGAGCCATCCAGGCGCCCCTAAAAACAAGTTTTTAAACGGTTTTGCTTTAGGCTCCCATCAAGCACTGAACTCAGTCCTGGGAGACAGTCTGTCTTTTTGTACATTACTGACCTTGTTCATAAAAGTTTTAACTTTACTTCACTCCAGTCCACAAATTCACGCTTTGCTCAAAGCCCTACGTAAGGTGGACCTTTGGACTCACCAATAAAAATCATGAATAATTTATCCATGAATGTCTTAAAGCTAATGAAGCCTCAGACCATATTAACAGGGTGAGGAAGGAAACAGTTTCACTCAATACTGAGTGGACAAGATTGCTTCTGGGACGAGGGTACGAGTGCCTCTAACAGGGGCATGAACAGACTTGACTGTTGTCTGGTCAGCAAACAAGACAGTAAGGAGACCTGAAAACAGTCTCTAGAAGGCGGGGGGGGGGGGGTGCTATATTTGATGATCTTTCTTTTCTTTTCTTGTCATTGCTGTGTTTCCTTTCTGTCTTGAGACTGGTTTCTCTTACCTGGATTTCCCCACCCTTCTTACCTTACTTTCCACTAAGTTCCATTTCAACCTTCAGCAAGTTTGGGTTAAATTGAGCTTTTAATGACTTTTTTTTTTAAGATTTTATTTATTTATTTGACAGAGACAGACACAGCGAGAGAAGGAACACAAGCAAGGGGAGTAAGAGAGGGAGAAGCAGGCCTCCCGCAGGGAGCCCAATGCGGGGCTCAATCCCAGGACCCTGGGATCATGACCTGAGCCGAAGGCAGATGCTTAACTGATTGAGCCACCCAGGCGCCCCTAAATAGAGCTTTTAGAAGTAATTTAGAAACTTTGAAAACCATAGATGGGCTACAGAAGGCTTTCCCATGTACCCAGATGAACACGAATCATAAGCACTCCGTGGAACCTTAATACAGGCAAATCCCTTTACTGATGCATTCATTGTTAACTCCTTATCTAGTTTCCTGTAGTGCATATGACCAGGTCTTCTGTTTCTTCTCAACTCCACGGTTGTCTTTGCCTTTCTTTCTGTAGACTTTCCACCTTTGATCTCATTGAGATAAATGAGGTCTTCCACCAAGAAATTCCTCAAGAGTTTCTTTCTCAACTCAGAATTTCTCTTGGGAATACATTTTATTCTTTTGTTTCTTTTCATCTATTATATTTATTACGGGTAATCCATATGTGCTCTGCCCAATCTTTTGGGTAAGAAAAGGTGAATTAGAAAGGGGCCCTTCCTTGATGGAGGTCAGTGTAGTAAAGGTAGACTTTAAACAAGTGTTTTTTATATATAGTCTTTGGTGCCAAGAGGTGAATACAAAAGGCAGTGCAATAGGAGCAGCTGATAATATCTTGGGGCAGTGGGGAATGCGGGAATGGCTACATAGGTTCCTGAGTAAAATCTCAAAGGACAAATTGCACTTGTCAGTGTTCATCCTAAATTGAATCCTTTTTTTTCTTTTTTGCATCCAATTTGTCCATATTGGAGCACATGGGTTCAGTACAAAATAAAACTCTCATTCCTTTATGCTTTGTTTTCTTTTACTCATGTAAGACCATTTCATACTGTGGTTCCCCTTGGGGCCTAACATGAATGCGTTCTTATTTTGTTTCCTTATTTAGACTTTGTCACATTTGAATTGGCTAAGCTGGCCCAAGAGCTATAAGAGGTTGCACACCCCACTTGCCTTTTCTCTGAATTCCCCACAAAATCTGGGGACAGAGGCTGTGCATCTATGGGAGGGATGGTGATGTGGTCAAAGACTATTACAAGTGTGTAAAAAAAATGCACTAGGTATGGAAGCTGAAGCAGCCTTATATTTGGGGGGATGTTTTTGGTGTTTTTGGTTTGATGGATATTGGCAAGGCAGAAGTGAGAGATGAAGCTGAAAGAGCAGCGGGAGCAGATTGTGGGGGTCTTGCATGCTCTGCTTTGGTACCCATGAGTGAGACATAGGAGAGCTAGGAGAGGTGATGTTATAGAAATCAAAGCTTGGATGCATAAGGAAGCATGAGGTCAACAGCTATTAATGAACACAGGTCAAGGAATACATAGTAACATATTTCATTGCTGCTTTATGAATCAACTTCTATTCTAACTTACTATCTTCCTTATGTACTAGTCAATTACAACTGTTTTCTTCTTGACTTTCCTTACTTTTACTTTTGGCATATGAGGTACCAATGTAGGGGTATATGGAGGGGAGGGGAGAGAGAGAGAGAGAATATATGTGTGTATATATATTATATATATGTGTGTGTGTGTAATATATATATATTAGTTTCTGTATTGCATTTATGCACCAAGGAGTATAGTTTACAATTATATTAAATACATATATAGGTCTTAAGTTATACTCTTTAGAATTAGGGAATAAAGAAATATCACCTGAATAAAATAACAGGAATTCCCTTACATAGGTATAAGATTTACGGAAAGCATCCTAAGAAGTAATCTACCTTGAAAAGAAAGTGTTAACTGATTATTGATAAAATTAGTGAACGTCTAAAATGTCTGTAGGTGGCCCCTAATCAATAAATCATCAATATAAAATAATTAAGGAGAAGATACAGTTTTAGAAATTATAGTAGGTATATAATTACCTCTACTTTGGGTGAGTGATAAACATTTAAATTGGAGCTGGGAAATAAGAATGTCCAGGTGTTCAATTCAGTGCAGTCCAGAGTCAAGGGTGGCCTTGAACAATCAAAGCAAAGTTCTGATTCAGTCACCCAAATATTTTTAACACTACTTTCAGTTAGCAGTCTGACATTGTGAGAAATGATTGAGGCATTCATTCATTCATTCATTCATTCATTCAACAAGTATTTACTGAATGTTCACCATGTACCAGACACCTACCAGACACCATTCTAAGCACTAGGGGTTATCTCAGGTATCAGAACATGATCCCTGCCCTATGGAGCTTAGAGTCTAGCAGGGGGAAAGGGACAATAATAAAGGGTAGGTCTGGTATGTGATCATTGATGGAGGCTATAGGAAAAAATAAAAGAGGAGGGTAAGGTCCTGGGGAGTACCAGAGAGGGAAGTGACTAGGTCTCAGTAAAATATAGGGTGATAAGCCATGTTTCCCTTAAGAGGATGGGATCTGAGAGATGCGAAGCAGAGGGTCGAGTTAGAAAGATATCTGGGGGGGCGCCTGGGTGGCTCAGTTGGTTAAGCAACTGCCTTCGGCTCAGGTCATGATTCTGGAGTCCTGGGATCGAGTCCCGCGTCGGACTCCCTGCTCGGCGGGGAGTCTGCTTCTCCCTCTGATCCTCCCCCTCTCATGCTCTCTGTCTCCCATTCTCTCTCTCAGATAAATTAAAAAAAAAAAAAAAAGAAAGAAAGATATCTGGGAATATCCTTTCAGACCAAGGGAATAGCTGATGCAAGGTCATCAAGGTGGATGCTTACAAAGGAGCCTGTGCAGCCGACGTAGAATGAGGCAAGGGAGACATTTAGGAGAAAGGGGTGGAGAGGTAACAGTAGCACCGGACCCAGTGGGGCCTTTGAGGTTATTGTATGGATTTGAACTTTTACCCTGAATGACATGAGGACCCATTGCTTGGTTCTGAGCCAGTGAAAAAATGTAGCAGCCTTGACTTTTGAGCAGTAATGAGGTCAGCCAGTCGTTCCCTATTGCCAAAATTTTGTGCTTCCAAAACTATCCCTTTTTTCATGAAAAGCCTTCTTGGTTCTCAGGTAGATTTTTTTTTCCTCATTCATTCATTCATTCATTCATTCAATATTTACAAAGTGGCAGTAATAAACCTGTTTTTTGTTTTTTTTTTTTTCTGGCACTGAGGTCAGAACAAAGCTCCTGGCCTCATGGAGCTTCCATTGTAATGGAGGAGACAAA